TCCCCACAGTAATTACTTTATAAAGAATGAATTACGTCTTAATACATATTCCTTTTGCTTCTTCGAACATATATAGTCGAGGTTCGTAAGTCTAAGCATCTCTTCTCATTATATAACCATCCATCACCACATTAACCAAAAGTATTTTTATATTTTGGAAGGAAAAACCATAATTATAAGAGGAAAATAAAATTAACACAAGGAAGAATTTGGTCACGCGTGCCAAAATGAGATGTATGTGCGGGTTGTAAAACACGCGCGTGAATCTCTCACGTGTGAAGACCTCAACGTATAATATAAATCATATTTTTATAACCATATTTTCTGTTTTCCCATAAAAATATTTATGTAGAAAGGTGTAATAGTTTATTTATAAATTATAACTAGTATATTTATATTTCCTAAATGTTTGAAAATTCAGTTGCAGAGAGGTTTCTTAAAAATACCTACTTATCAAAAAAAAAAAAAATATTTAAACAACATTATTTTGGTGGTATATTGGTATTTTGTCCGGAAAAAACATTTGTTTTTCTAAAATCTTTTTAAGGAAAGTCTTTATTAAAGTTTAGAAAGATATTTGTCTAATAAGTTTTTAGTTTACTACAAAAAGAATTGTAGTATGTCATACTTTTGAAAATACCAAAAAAAACAAAAAAACTAAAGTAATTTTAAAAAAAAGAATTAAATCAATGACAAGCATGACGAGAAGACGCATTATATAACAACAATCCTTGAGCCAAGAAGCATTCTTACAACAATACCAAAACAAACATAAAAAATTTCAGATTTCATTTTGATTTCGTAGACACTCGTAACTGTCTTAAGAAGTAAGATTCTTGTGCTCAAAGAAACCTTAAAACTGTTTTAACTTCTCTCTTCCCGGACAAAAAGTTTAGATTTTTTTTATATAAGTTAGAGAATCAGAATCAATGGAGATCAAAGGTGAAACGATGCAGAAGTCAAAGTTCAAAAGAATCTGTGTCTTCTGTGGAAGCAGCCAAGGCAAGAAGAGCAGTTACCAAGATGCTGCTATTGATCTCGGCAACGAACTGGTAATAACTTTGATTCTGCTTGATGTGTTTTGATTGCTTCTTTTGCTTCATTATGTTCTGTAAAGTTGTACTTTTTGTGGGGTTTGATGAAATCATGTTCACAAGAAGATGTTTGTGAATATGTGTCTGTGTAGGTTTTTGCAAATGCAGAGCATTTCTGGTTTCTTCTTATGATATAACTTATGTTAAACTGGTTTGAATCTATGCTTCATGTAGAACTCAAAGATCTACTTATTACCAAATCTTAATCTTTCATGTGTTATAACTCTGTTTTTCTTCTTCAGGTTTCAAGGAATATTGATTTAGTTTATGGAGGTGGAAGCATAGGATTGATGGGTTTGGTTTCCCAAGCTGTTCATGACGGTGGTCGTCATGTTATTGGGTAACTTAAACCTCTTTAAATCTCTTTCTCTTTTATCAACTTTGTGATCTTTATTGTTAAAGATCATACAAAAGAAAAACACAATTAATGTTGAGTTTTGTTGTTGATTACTTCTTCTTCTTTTTTTTGTCATCTTGTTGTTACTCTACAGAATTATCCCCAAGACCCTCATGCCTAGAGAGGTAAACCCAAGAAAACTTTCAAAGTTTTTCCTTAAAATAAACTTAAAATAATCATTTTTATTTGTTTATTAATATCTCTTTTAAGTGCTGTTTTTCTTCTCCAAATCCCCCATTCAAACTTCTTTTGAATCTTCAGTCTTTGCTTCCATTTTACTCTTATCCCTATTTATTATTACCCTTTCTTAAATCTCATGATTATATCAGTAGTTTCTCTGCCTCCTCCTATATCTTTTTTTCTTTTCAATTAAAGGGATATTAAAAAAATGATGAAAAAGATGTAAACTAGATTAGGGTTCTGTAAAAAGAAAATGGGGTATGTAAGAGATTT